GTGCCGCGCGCCGCCGCGTTCGCGCGCGGCTCCTTCTTCGTCGGCGGCTCCGACGCAAAGCGCCCCGCCGCCGCCTTGGTCACCATGGACTTTCAGGGAAACCTCACCGGCAAGACCCCGGCTTCTGCAAGTAGCGTCTACGCGATAGCCGTCAGTAATAAGGGCGCCGTGGCAGCGGCTGGCTTCTCCCCGCAGAAGAGAGCGCTCGGCAAGGCCCGCGAGACCGTCGATGTTTATGTGTGCCCGCCGGTCCGCAGCTACTCGTTTGAGGTGTAGCGCTGCGTCTCAGGAGACAACCCTCGTATGCGAACGACCTTTCCTCACTATGCGGACGTGACCTGCCGTGTACGCGGTCCACTGCTACAGGACGGTTTGTCTTATTTCCCGTCGCCCCGCTTTCGCTCGATCACTTGTTTGCACCGCGAGCCAAACTGGATCGCCCGCTTAGCCCTGCGTGTCGCCTCGCTGGAAAGCCCGACCAGCGCTGCCGCGCGCCGGAGCAAATGCTTGTCGCCCACACCGTCGGGCTTGGACAAGTCGCACACGTGCTCCACCAAGGGCAGCCTCGTCACCAAAGAGATCAAGTCCTCGTCCAGGAACGGGTGCCGCACTTCTTTGCCGTGGTCCGCGATCAGCCGGTCGTCGCGCCCGAGGTTGCGAAACCACAGCCGACTCAAATCCGCGTCCATTTCCCGCTTGACCCCTTCCGCACCCTCGCTGCGGAAAATCGTTCGGTGCCGCCCTTTGTACCCGCCCATCAGCTCGTCGGCCCCCAAGCCGCTGAACAAAATTCGCGCTGTTGAACACGAGAGCTGCTTGTTTTGCCCGGGGAGATCAAGTCTTGCGTCATAGGAGTATCCTCGGCCTCGCGACGCGAGCCAGATAGCTGTCCCAATCGACGCATCCATAAGCTGGTCGCATGGGTGCACGAGGTGCCGCACGCAACTCGCAAGAGTCTCATCGGCCTCCATCGGCCCCACGTCAACACAGCGTAGATCAAAGTCGCGCGCAGTTCGCGACAAGTTGCGCAACTCTGCCAACCCGGAGATCGCGTTCGCTCTGTCCGGACACGCTTGCAAGGCGTCGTCGCTTTTTCCGAATGCAACATTGATGAGCTCTATCGTCTCACCTTCAGGTAGGCATTCGTCGAGTACGGCTGCGAGGAAAAGCGAGTCAATGCCTCCCGAAAAAAGAACGCCGTATCGAGGATAGCCGGGAGTGAACGACCTGTTGGTCACAAGCCTTCTTTGGAGACTGTCACGGAAGCGATCGAGAAACTTCGTTGCGGAATCGAGCAGCGTTAACTTGTATTCCTCTGCTGCTTTGCCGCTTCTGAGCCACTTTGCGGGTAGAAAGGATACGTACATACCCTTGTCGCTGCCCGACACAAGCTCTCCCTCGAGGCTTTGCGCGACGCGCTTCGGCATCACAAAGCTTCTATGTCTCTCTACGGCACCAAACGAGACCTCTCCATGTCGACCGAATTCCACGTATCCCAAGCCTATCGGTGGCAACTCGACAAAGCCGTGAAGCGCATGGCGGGGTGGAATAGAAAGTATTTCCAACCCAGTTCCCCGTATTACGCGAAGCATGAGAGAGCGACGTCCTAAGCAGTCCCGACCAAAGTATAGGCGTCTTCGCGCATTGTGCCAAAAAATCAGCGCCCATGGCCCCCGCAACTCATCAAGAGCACCAAGGGCGTGCATCCCCAAGCCATCCCCTTCCCTGCACGCCCTAGAAAGCAGTTGCTGTAGAGCTGTAAAATCATTTGCCCCAGTGTTGTCGCACACATTATACAGTTCTCCGTTGAACAACAATGCGTCGCCCGAGTCTGAAGCGAGCGTTTCAGGTGGGCTCCCGCGATGGGATAGCACTGTCTGGAGCAGATGTATCGTTGTCTCGCCTACACCGCCTTGGATTGAGATGGTGTGATGAAGCGTAGAGTCTGGACCTCTCCTTTCCAGTGCTTGAGCAACATCGTTAGTCGATAGAGGACTCTGCGTTGTACAGGTTTTTGACGTCGATGAGCCAGCCCAGACCGGCCATGGTGGTAACTCGGGAATCGTCCCGCAACTCAGAAGGGCCGCAATGCCACACATGCCTACATTTGTCGCAGCCGACGTTGGGCGGAGGAGACATTTATTTTTGGGCACTGTTTTTCCCAAATTGCTTGTAACGCTCACAAGCCAAATGCCAGCATTTCGCGTAGTGGTGTGCGAGTCCAAACAAAGATTCGGCTTTCGTATCTCCTCGCAGCCGACTTCAAAGCAAAATGGCTATTAGTCGACTTCACAACTTGTCCCGGGCTGTCCAGCGCAGCTTCTCGACGCGGCCGCCACCACAGCAAAAAATTGGAGTTAATGCTGTGCCGAAACCCTCTCTGCACGCAGCCGCACCGAAGCCACCATCGTCTCCTTTCGACGCGCTCGGACTAGATCTTACCAAGGATGCTTTGGGACCAGAGAGCGAGAAGCGAGCGGTGATTGAAGCCTTTGGGGCATCGTCCTTCACAATCTCTGGTGTGCGAGTATTGGGGTCTGTCCTGATCATGCCCAAGTTCTCAACGCTGTGGAACGTCAACAGCATGGCAGATATTACCTCGGATGCGTTCGCATTGGTCCAGCTCATTGTTCCGCGACCTGATGTTGTTATCGTTGGCACTGGTGCGGAGTTGGTGGTAAGTTTTGTATTCATCTTTTGCGAAAGAACTTTTCTGTATGCACAGGGGATGCAAAATTCTAACATATATGAACGATGAGCATTGGGTGAGTACAGCCGCTTTCGCCAGAGCTTCGAATGTGGTTTCGCGATATTCGAGTGAACGTAGAGTCGATGGATACGAAAAATGCTTGCCATACCTTTAATGTCCTTAACGAAGAATCACGAAACGTCTCGGCAGCTCTACTTCCTCCTGCATACAGATTGTCGGACCAATGAGCATGAATAATGTGGACACTATCCTGTCTGGCTTTTACGCGCGCGCCCTCTATAAGGGGCTCTGTACTTTTTTCCATTCGCTCCTTTCGCGGGATGAAAACGCACCACATCAATTCATGTTCACAGATGCGCAAGAGTGGCACAAGACTGCTCTCGAGACGAGCCTAGGGCACCTCTTGTGGCATACAACTTAACCTAACGTGGCATTGACAAGACCGTGTAGTCCGTATGATGACTTGCCTCTAATCTAATCAAATGGGTCCTATCGTAGAGCGGAAACAAATTCAAAGAGGCACACTGACATTATCCTTTGAGCCAAAAAGCGATGGTGATTTATGTCGTCGTTTCTCTCAGGCTTATCTTGGAGATTTTTGACTGCACGGTACGGAAGTGCAAATACAAGCATGTGCAAATACGATGCAAACCCTTTGCTTTTATAAGGTGAGCTTGTTTTCTTCTCGCAAGGCCGTTTACAAATGAATATATATTGTTGCAGAGGGTTGACGTCTTGTAAACCATGCCATCATATCCTTGCTGCCTTCCGTACAAATAAATAGTGTACCGTGCATATGTTGTACCAAATATAGTGCGTAGTATATGTGCACGTGTAGATGGGACGGCAAGCTTATGTTGAGGCACGAGGAGTGCCTCGCCGAAACAGACCCACGTCGGCTCGGTCGGCGGAGCGGAAACATGAGCCACATTGAGGAAATCATGTTTTGTGGGAAAAAATGTGCGGTTTTCTTTGATCCCTCATCCTAATTAGAAGGTTGGTGCGAGCCAGTCGCTTTCTTCCGCACGTAATCGTCTCTAGCCGCGACTGGCTCCGCCGTGCAGCAAGCACAGTCACCATTGCTGTGTTGGGTCGCCGTATCCCCAACCCCCACTCAATGTCAGCATGAAGAAAGTGGAAGCCATACGAAAGCTAAACGAGACAGAACTCGAAGAGGGCATCGCCGGCACAAGCGCCTCATGGCACCAGAAATACGAGTCCTGTCCGTTCATCTACGTCGGCGGTCTACCCACAGCACTCACCGAGGGTGACCTACTAGCTATGTTTGAGCAATTCGGTATCGTTGTCCTTGTCAATCTCGTGCGTGAAGCAGACACGGGCAAGTCGCGCGGGTTCGCCTTTCTAAAATATCACGACCCAAGAAGCGCCGTCCTGGCAGTCGATAATTTCACAGGTACTGAGGTGGGCGGTCGCACATTGCGCGTCGACCATGCCGAAGACTTTAAAATCCCAAATGAGCCAGGTCGGGGCATAATTGATACAACACCGCCACAGCTTAGGGCTGAAGATAGCTCCCGTCCGAGCGGTCGCCCGGCAACCAATGAAAGCAATGCGAATGAGATCACTGCAGTTGTCAAAAAGGAAACAGAGAAGGAAGATCGCCGAGAGAGAGCCGTCTTTGAGAGGTGGCAAGCCATGAATAAAAAACGTGAGAGGGAAGAGCGTAAAAGACAGCGACGGAGGAGCGATAAGGGGCACCCCGCAGTCCAGAGGGACGGACACGACCTCGACAATTCGATCGACCGAGAAGCAAATGTTCAACCCCCCAATGGCGAGGTAAACCGTGAGACAAGGCATGCAAGAGTATCGGAATCTCGCATTGAAAAGAGAAGACATAAGGAAGAACGACGGGCCCGAAAAGCTGAACGTGCCAAACTTCGGGAAGAACGGAAGCGAAGGAGAGCAGAGCGTGAAGGAGAGCGGTAACCGAAAAGCAATGGCATTTCGCGCCATAACGCCGATGTCTTCATCAGTTAGTTAAACTATTTATGTGAGGGCCACAAATCTCAATTATTCGCGACTTGGACATTTGCCAAGGACCGTTTAGCTGCCTGCAGCCTAGAAAAGCCCTCATCCTGCAAGAAGTCTGCTGAGGTTTGCTCAATTACGCTTGTCAAGTGTAGACGGGCTGCCCTCAAGTTGAGGCTGTTTTCAGAGAGTATCGCGTCCCGTACCAAAGAGTCTGACGCGAGGGCCATGTGCCTAAAGCCTCGGAGCTCCGATTTCCATTTATCTTGTGCAACAAGAGATCGCACCTGCTTCAACCGACAGTCGAACGCCTTTTGCTTCCCCCCATCTACTGGGACAAGTTCGTGGAGCTGCGCGTATGCTGCCCAAATCGAAGGATTGGTCGAAACAAGGGTTGTAGAATGACCGAGGACCTTTAGCAGTTTTCGGCATACGGGACCAACGTGAGCCTTGTCTTCTATGTCATCTGACTCCATCATGCGAATTACTTCAGCGACGGCAACCCCAATCGATTCAACCACAATGCCATCTTTGCCCCGCAGTTGAAGAAGCACTTCCATTGCTCGCACTATTTCCGGGCTTGCACGGATTTCCGTCGCGAGCATGAGCATGTTCTCCCATATATGCCACGAATCTCGTTTTCTCCTAGCTGCCTCGGACAAGGCCTTGAGTGCTTCCTTCTTTTTTCCGATCTCATGAAGCACGCGAGCGAGGTTGTTCCACGCTTCTCCATGTTCGGGTGTTTGCTGGACTACGCGCGTAAAGGCATGCGCAGCGACCTTCATGTTTTGTATTTGAATGGCAGCACATCCGTAAGTAAACCAAACGTCCGGGAAGAGAGAGTTGATATCTAAGGCTTGTTTAAAATGACCCACAGCATCCTCCCATTGCTCAGCTTCGACAGACATTCTCCCAAGAGCCCGTTTCGCTCGCGCATACTTGCCCCCACTCTCCGTCCATGCCGTTTCGAAATGCTCCTTGTTCCTCGTGACATCTCCAAGGACGCAAAGGAGGCGAGGCCGTCGGGCAGCACGAGCATGGACAGCTCCCTTCGCACCAAAATTCAAAACCCCAGAGGCAATCTCAGCCTCACCTGGCATCCCGTCCTCCACCACTGCTCGGTCGAGTAGGTCCAGCTGCTCACGAACTAGAGCCTCAGCATGACCAAGGTTGCCAATCAGGCGATGGCAATCAACAAGCTCATCCCAGTATTCGAGCTTCTCGAAAATCTCCATGGCTGATTTGACAAGCCCTATCCTTCCAAATGAAATGGCGAGCTCCTTCTTCAACTCCCATCGCGTTGGCACAGCAGATGCGAACAGGAGCATGTTCCGCTCTGCCACAGCTGCATGCCTACCATCTTCATCCATTGACGCAATCGGGTCATCCACAAACCGTGCTATCTCCTCCAGTTGCGACATGCATCGCTCTAAGTACCTCCCACGCTCGCGCTCAAACTTCACGCGCAGCATGAGCGCCCGCACTTGCACAATACTACTCGTTCCAAGCGGGCTCGTCCTGTTCTGAATAACAAGGTTCACGTATGGTGCCATCTCCTCTTTCGTCAATATGTGGGACGCATTGCGGGCCCGAACAACGGCGGCTTTCCCCAGAGCCAAAGCCTGCTGGATCGGCGAGAGATGTTCCTTCTCCTCCGCCAACGTCACTTGCTCTTCTTCATCATCACTTTCGTTTCCCGCATCAGACGCTGTGACGACAGACTCCTTATCCCCAGTCAGTTGAATGTAGCCCAACACGTCGCTATCATTCACAGGCACATTCTTGGGCAAAGGCAAGCTCCCACTATGACCCAAGTCATTTTTATCCCCAGTCTTCCCTTCCTTGCCCGTCACACATGGAAATCGCACGCCGAAATGCATGACATCCTCCCCTGACCCCACCCCCTCAATCCCAAAAGCGCGCGCGATCAACTGTGCAGTGGCCTTTGTCTGAAACCTGGTCCTTAACCCCATCTCCCCCGATATCCGAAAAGCAATTCCTTCATACTTACAAGCCTTCTTCAGGCTCTCCAGCGCTCCATCTCCATCATAGTACGCCCTCTGCGCCAGCGCCAACTCCAGATAGGCCAACACCAGTAACGCACGATCGGCGGCCTCACCCTCGTCCAATACTTGTAAGAAATCGTCCTCCTCGTCACGGATCTCCCCACCAATCGCTGCAGGTATCGGCATCCAGTCGTCCTCTTCATCTCCCGCATCATCCCCAGCACCAACCTGAACAGTATCTGCGTACAGCTCCCTCGCCTGGGCAACTTCGCCTCCCAAAAACCGTCCGAACAAAGTGAATATCTCGTAGCCTAAATCCGGCGCCGGCCCGAACAACACGCCCTGCTGCGCAAGCACTACTCTCGCAGCCCACCATGGCGCGAGCGTGGCGCCAGCTCTGACCAACTCGCTAACGGCATCGACTAGAATGCGTCTCGCAGCGCGGAGCCACGCAAGCTGCCTCGCAGGACGCGCCACATCCTCTCCGTTCCTGGCGAGGAGAAGGGCTGCGTCAGCATCGGCAGCTGTTACGCTGGCGGAAGAGGGGGGCCCGGCCCAGTTTGCAGAGACGAAGGCGTTGAGCAGGCCAACGCCCGCGACGTAGATGGTGCGCAGATGCGGGAGACTGCCCCCGGCGGCGGCACGGAGATGCTCGAGGAGCATAGTGGGGGGTTGGGCTGGCGGGAGCGAGACCAAATGGTGCGCGAGACGAGCGGCGGGAGTGTCCGCAGTGCCGCTCAAGAAAGTGTAGTCTCCGCGGGCGATGGCGGCGGCCACGGGGTGCTTGTGGGATGAGAGGGCAGCTGAGTCACCCAGCAGGAGCAGGCGCTCGAATGCGGCGAGGGTAGCCATGGAGAGGAGATGCGAAAGGGTGGAAGGGGGTCAAGGAGTGGCGGATATGGACGACGGCGGGGGTAAGAGGGGGCGGAGTTTGATCCATTAGACGGAGGGAAGAGACCAATCACAGTGGCATTGCTCCTGCGAAAGCGGCTGTTTTCGGCCTTTTCTCGCTCCCTGTGCATAAGGAAATAAAACACTAATCGGTGACGTTGGCCAGTACATGCCGCACGATATCATCATAGATATCTACAACGTCGCCGAAGGCACCCTTGAGGCAGAACAATGAAAGCATTAGCTTTGATACTATCCATCCTTGAACCAGCAAACGTAGCTTTAGTCCCAACGATTTCATTGAGTGTTAATACGTAGCCTCCTCCGCACCGCTATCATTCTCCTCGTACCCATCATCGTCATCAAACCTAGTCCCCGTCTGATAATCCGCGCCCAACTCCAGATCCTCATCCTCCTCCAGCCGCGCCGTATCCTGTACCTCTACTTCCGCCTCACCCTCCTTTCTCTCCCCCTGGCCCCCGTCCGCATCCCCGTCGTCTTCCACCCCCAGCTCGCCGCCCATCATAGCCCCCTCAAACGCTTCCATGTCCTCCTCGTCCTGCTCGTCTACCACCACCCGTCTCCTCTTCCTACTCCCCCCTTCCTTCAATCTTCTCGGCCTCAGCTCCGCCGGCAACAGCTCCGGCACTACCCACCCCTTATCCAACTCCCATATACTCTCGCCGCCCCCTTCACACATCCCCCCCGCTTTCTCCTTGTAGTAAAACCTCCGCAGTTTTTCCAGCTCTCCCACTAGCCCGCTCTCTCTCCTTTCCACGCGCGGCCTGATCGCCTGCGCCGACCGCGCGATCGACTTGCGCATTTCCTCATACAGCGCCACCAGCCCTTGCTCCGACGGCATCAGCTTCATAGGCTCTACTTTCCGGTCCCCCTTGAGCGCAGGGTAGTAGGCTCGCGACGCATCCGCGTTGGCATTTGCAGAAGCTCTCACGATCGCTTCATAGTTCTTGAGCGAGCCCATCCCAACCTCTGCCATCGCGTCACGAATGGCCTGGGGAGGGCGCTGCCGTGACATTCCGCCCCGGCCCCGGCCCCTGCGCGGCGGCATTTTGGATTGGAATTGGTGTCAGGGGTGTAGTGGAGTGCGTTGCAGCGGATGGGAAGGAGGGGACGGTTTGGTCGAGAGTCATGAAACTTTGGGAATAGGAAGGCCAATCTTTTGTCCAATTGCGAAATTTTATGTTCATCCGTCCACCCCAGGACCGCATTCGCCAATCTCTTGTGTTAGACGAAACTACCACGTTCACCCATCACTTCATCCCTATTGCTTTCGCATTTCCTCTTGCCAGCCTCGCTTTCGTCTATGGCACGGAACCCCGCGTATTTCGCCGCTAACACCTCGAACACCTCGAACAGCTGCTCAAAAGAAAATGATATGACAAGAATGCAAACTGTTTTACATTCGGTCTATGAGAGCCTCGTGGAGAGACAAAGCAGGCAGGCCGTCAAGACAAGAAGGCGGACTGTCTCTAACTTGAAAACTGGAATAAGAGTACGGTATAGATGGTGTCGAAGAGAGATCCTTTACTAGGTTAAATTGCAGTGACGGAAGGGGGCAAGACGGCTATTGCAAAGTACAGTTAATACAAACCGCTTGAATGAAAATACAGGGGGGGGGTCGCGCAATAGTGCCACTTTGAGTAGTGCTTCCCACGCATTAGTGCTAGGCAAAACGCCTTGGCACGGTTATCATACTTCCTACACGTGTTCATACACGTGTGCCCGCTGCACATGTCGCACAGCACGTAGCGCCGCATCACGCACAGCGGGTGACGTATGATACACTTCTTACAGTAGACTCTCTCAGTACAGTACTTAAGCCACTGTCCCCCCCAGTAAACGGCGACGGCGTGAGCTACTGTATCATCTTCCTTCGTCACAGCGGGCATGGAATCTGCTGCTTGACTTCGGCAGAGAACATCTGGGCGGGGCGCCGCAGGGGGGGAGGGGTAGAGCGAGTGCAAGGGAGGAGAGAGGGGACAGGGGGGGAGGCAGGGACGTTCGCAGCTGTCGCCTATTGAGAGGTACAGTAGAATTCCGCTTCAAAGCCTGGCATCTCTGATCGCTCGCTTCAAACAAGACATGTCCTGTTTGACAACTGTATGTAAATGATTGTGTTTTGGCGCTTTCAGTATAGTGCCATTCACGCAATAGTGCCATATGTTGAGGTCTGTTTCGGTATAGCACTATTGCGTGGGACCCCCTGTATACCAAAAATCGATGGCATTATCTGGGCTATTCATATTCTCACAACATCCGGTGGTGTGACCGCTGGTCTGGTTCTATTCTAATTCCGAACTCGGTTTTCTGTAGATGTAGTTTCTACGGTGTAGTTTAAAATAATCAAGAGCTGGCCTGTAATTAGAACAGCCAGCTCATTCCGGATTCCGGTTTTGTGGGAAGATAGAAATTGCACTTTATTTGGTTAGCCCTAAATCTGGGAAAAAGTGAAATTATCCGTTCGACGCGCCGGCGGGAAATCCGGATATATAAAAATCCGAGGGCGGTATCCCGACCGACCCTCGGGGGTAACTTGCTACCCTCCGACAGCGCCGGCGAAAAGTCTCGAGACTCGACATCCGTAGTATCCCCATCCCCCTCGCTCTCGCCACTCCATTCCCCCGCCGCTGCGTGCGACGAGCGCGGCTACTACTAACCTCACCGTTCCCGTTCTCCCACAGTTATGGGCCCAGGGGGAAAGATGAGTAAATTATCAGGATTCTTCGACCCGCCTCTCTTCGCCGCCGATGGCGATCTTGAAGCCTGGCGCAAGAAGGTTGGACAGTGGGTCGACTCACTTAAAGTCGCCCACGACCAAGACACCGATCGCACTTTTCAGACGATGTTCAAGCTCCTCGGACGAACGCTCTATGAGCGGGGCCTTCCGGAAGCTCAGAAGGCAATCGTCGATGAAGCCCAGTCCAAAGGACAGCTCGACTACCTTCAAATGGATTATCCCGTGCAAGCAGGACTCTTCATCGTCGAGCTTGTCGCCGTAGACCCAAAATTGCCATGGTCACAAGGCTCATCGCATCATACCTGAAGGTCACCTCGTGTCGCCGAGACAGGAACGAGAAGCTCTCCAGCTTCGTCTCGAGGTTCCAAGGTTTGGCAGCCAAGCACTTGCTGCACGCCAACACTTCTTCTTCTTCGCAGATAGGTGAAGTTTTGGCGATTACCCTCCTCAATAACGCAAACATAGAGGAGGGAACGTTGACCAATGCCAAGCTCCAACTAATTTCGCATGCAGAAGCCCGAAACAAGGAGGAGTCGGCAGTCGTCGACACCGACAAGGTATCCAAGGTGCATCTTGAGGAAGTCCTCAAGATATCCGAGAAGCTGAAGAAGGTTGACGTTCCACTCCGCGAGTCAGAGTCCACGGCCGATGATTATAAGAAGGCTCTGTCCGACTTCAGATCGCAAACAATCAGCTTCATCCGCTCCTTGGACATTGCAGTCCAAGACCTGAAGGTGACTGCAGAGAATAATGCTGCGAAGACGTCAGTCGCTGACTCTTTCCTGCCGCGGCACACTTTTTGCAGGCTTAACCTTGACGACGCGGTGATCGTGCTGAGGAATCTGACCCAGACAACGTCAATGGATGCTCCCCAGTTCTCCATGAAGGACGTTCAAGCCTTTGTTGACCGCAAGGTCAAGTCTCTCATTGGCACCCATGGCAAGCCTGGCCCTGCAAGCATCTTCGACAGACTCTCTGAAGTCGGCTCACGTCACGGGCAGAAGAAGGACACTCGAATGGGTCCACCCTCTAGCCGTCGTAACGCATCTCGAGGCAGTCGCAAGAGGCAGCTGCCTTCGGATCACGAGACCCAGTCCATTTGCTATGACTGCGGAGAGCGTGGTCACTACAGAGGGGCAGCAGAGTGCAAGGAACCTAGCGCCTTCACCAAGAAAAAGAGGACGCACCGAGACCCCAGTGACGTCGGCTCCGGGGCACATCCCTC